TCAGTCAGTCGACCCGTGGCACCTGGGTCTGCCCCATGACCTCCTGCCAGCGGGCGTTCGACACTTCACGTGGCCTCAAGGTGCACATGGCCTGGCACAAGCGTCGTGGTGACGTCACCGCCACTTAGTGGCGAATGGCGGTTGTTGTTGTGTGTCTGTGTGTGTCTGTGTGTTTGTGTGTGTCTGTGTGTGTGCGGTAGTGTAGTGATTAGCGCGCTTCGCTAGGAACCTTGCCACCCAGGGTTCGATTCCCGCTCACGGCCACCAACACTGGTGTCGCGTGCCGTGCCGGCCTTCATCGGTGCTGCTCGCTACGGCTACACGGGGAGGCCCAGGAGCGGCTGAGGTAATCGTCAGCAGTGTTGGTGGCCGTGAGCGGGAGTCGAACTTGGAGGGCAGCGTGGTGTTCACCGCAATAATACTGCCCGCTCCCCGACTGGTACACGGTACGTACAGTGCAGGGTGCACAGAACTCGCGGCGTCTCTCACACGGTCCGGGTCTCTGCGTGGAGAGCGGGAGACGAAGGCGAGGGTCACACAGGGTCTCAACACGAGTCACGTCACATCACAGACTCATCCTCACCGTTAACCAACATCATCAACACAAACCCACATCATTAACACGGACCCACATCATTAACAAGAAACTCACATCATCAACACGAGCTTACATCATAACCATTCACCCACAACACTGCACATCTGTGAGAAAAAGCTGTATAGCTCATCAGACTCCTCCAGTATAAGTATTCTGATTCTGACATGAACTCACATTGTCACCACTCACAACACACCACCACTATCAGTAACACCACTAACACCACCATTCCTCCTGCCAGTACACTACACAGACACACACACGTCCTCACCACTCACATCACCATTCACCCACAGCTCCTCACCTCCTCCAGAGTCGCCGCCTGTGACAAATAAAAATCGCCAGAAGTGGGGGCGGGGCCCGGTGAGCACGCCCTCGTGACGCAACAGCCCGTAAGCCCCTCCCCCCCATACCCCCCCCCCCATACCCCCCGCCCCCCCCATACCCCCTCCCCCTCCCATACCCCCCGCCCCCCCCATACCCCCCGCACCCCCCATACCCCCCGCCCCCCCCATACCCCCGCCCCCCCATACCCCCCGCCCCCCCATACCCCCGCCCCCCCATACCCCCGCCCCCCCCATACCCCCCGCCCCCCCCTACCCCCTCCCCCCCCTACCCCCCGCCCCCCCCATACCCCCCCCCCACCCATACCCCCCGCCCCCCCCATACCCCCCGCCCCCCCCATACCCCCCGCACCCCCCATACCCCCGCCCCCCCATACCCCCCGCCCCCCCATACCCCCCGCCCCCCCCATACCCCCCGCCCCCCCATACCCCCTCCCCCCCCATACCCCCCGCCCCCCCATACCCCCCGCCCCCCCCATACCCCCCCCCCCCCCCCATACCCCCCGCTCCCCCCATACCCCCCCCCCCCCATACCCCCCGCCCCCCCCATAACCCCCGCCCCCCCCATACCCCCCGCCCCCCCATACCCCCCGCCCCTCCATACCCCCTCCCCGCCCCCCCCATACCCCCCGCCCCCCCCATACCCCCCGCCCCCCCCCATACCCCCCGCCCCCCCCATACCCCCCGCCCCCCCCATACCCCCCGCCCCCCCCATACCCCCTCCCCCCCCATACCCCCGCCCCCCCATACCCCCGCCCCCCCCCATACCCCCTCCCCCCCATACCCCCTCCCCCCCCATACAGCAGCCGTCTTCACCTGAAGACGGCTGCTTGCATTGTAGCCGAAACGTCGTGAGAATTATTTTATTTTAATTTGTTTTATTTTTATTATTTTATTACTTCCCTTCTACGTGACTTTACCGAAAGAACCAAGAAGATGGATCCCTGCAGTCACGAAAGCTTTAAATCGATACTCACTCTCACTCAATGTCACTCTTTCACTAAAACACTCACTAACTCTTACACTCACTCATACTCACTCTCCCATTTACTCTGACGCTTACTCAAATTCACGAACTTTTTCACTCAAGTCTCACCAGTCACACCACAAATCGTTGGGGGGTCACGTGGCCACTCGTTGAGCGGGAGGGGTCTGAGGGTCTGACGCAACAGAGATAGGGGCGTGGCCATAGCCGTGGAGGTGTGACGTCACTGCACGCGTGTACGGAGAAGGTGCAGAGGAGGTAACTGCAGTAGCAGCACAAAGAGCCGAGCTCTTGTTGCGATTATTTACAGGGATTGGAAAAGAGCAGGAGGCACGGTGAGACTCCATATCACACTCACCCTCTCACTAACTCACTCGCACACTCTTAAAGGCACTCTCACATTCACTGTCTCTTTCACTCACACTCACTCTTTCACTAAAACACTCACCAACTCTCACACTCAATCACTCTCACTCATACTCACTCTCACTCATACTCACTCTCATACTGACTCTGACATTCACAAACTTTTTTGCTCAAGTCTGACACGCACAGCACGAACCGTTGAGCGGTCACGTGGTCACTCGTTGAGTGGGAGGAGTTTGAGTGTCTGACGTAACAGAGATAAGGGCGTGGCCATAGCCGTGGAGGTGAGTGACGTCACTGCACGCGTGTAGTGAGACGTGCAGAGGAGAAATTGGCAGCAGTAGCAGCAAAAAATTAACCCGTAAAAACAAAGTTTTTCACTATAAATCCTTTATATGCGTGGCATCGGTTTTATTTTATTATTCATTTCTGTTTTTCTTGAGTAAGAGTTTCATTTTTATTACATTGGTATTTTAAATGAAATATAAGGAAAGTCGTATATAAGGATTATAAGGTTTTCAGTTTTTGTATGATTGTTTATATTGTACATTTTTGTTGTTTTCTTGAATAATTTTCTGTGTTTAGGAAAAATATATGATTGTGTTAGTGAAATATTTTTTTTCCTAAAAAGTGGAAAATTTTGGAAAAATATTTTCACAAAAATAAATTGTCACGCACAACGAGTCTGTGCAAAATGTCAGCTCGATTGGATCACGGGAAGTGGATTAAAAAACGACCGAAAGATTTGCACGGTCGTAAGCGTGCAAGCAAGCAAGTGAACTTAATATGAAGGATTTAAAAATGGATACGTATTTCCCCCTTTCGTCCCCTCTGCTTTATCAATGTTGATTCCTGTCACCAAAGTACACTGATTTCACACTCTCTTCGATCGGCACAGTACCACCTTCGCTTATCATCGTCAGATTCATAAACTTGACGTCTACAAAATGAACAACTTTTTCTCAGCTACCCCAGGTGGGACTCGAACCCACAATCCCTGGCTTAGGAGGCCAGTGCCTTATCCATTAGGCCACTGGGGCTACATGTAGCATGATGAAAGGGTAAAAACCTATTACTATATTTTGCCACTGGTAAAGAGGTCTCATAGTGTAAATGCTTACCCCGAGCTCTCAATACTCTGATAGTGCACTGTCTTTGAGTTGTACGCCTTTTGGCGTCATCTGGTCCAACACCAATGGAGACTAGGCTCTAAGAAAAGCTGTCTCGGGTGTGGACCAATCAACTTCAAGGACAGTGCATATCATTATCATCAGAGTTGTTTATTTTTGTTCGCATTTTGACTGCTTGTGTTGTGGTTATTGCAAACATGATGCCTTGTATAAAGGTGCCAGTTTTTGTACCATTTGAAAGGGTAAAAACCTATTACTATATTTTGCCACTGGTAAAGGAGGTCTCATTCTTTACGGGGAGTGGAGACGAGGAGGAGGGAGCACAGTGAGACTCACGCTCACTCACTCGCACGCTGTCAGACTCGCTGTTTCACTCTCAAACTCTGTCTCACCCTCACTGTAATCACTCTCACATACTCTCTCATTCACTCACTCATTCTCTGTCACATGCACTCTCTCACTCTCCCACTCACTCTCACACTAACTCACTATCACACTCACTCTCTTACACTCCCGCTCAATAACTCACGAGTATTTACTCTCACGCTCACATTCACTATCTTACTCATACTCATTGTCTCACTCGCTCACCCACATGCACTCTCACACACACTCTTACTCTCCCGCTCAATAACTCTTACATGCATTCACATTCACACTCACTAACTCACACTCACTCTCTCACTCACTTTATCATGCTCCCACTCACTCTCATTAACTCCCCCACTCACTCATTCTCACATTCTTTCATGCTCACTCACTCTCTCACTCACTCTGTCTCACTCGCACTTACTTACCATCACACTTACTGTAACTCTCTCATTCACGTTCACACACATTCACTCTAACACTAACTCTCTCACTCTCCCATGCACTCTTACAACATCAATCTCACACTAACTTTCACACTCATTCTCACTTTCACACTCCCTCACACACTGAATCTCACACTCACTAACTCTCAAATTCACTCACATTTACTCTCAATCACTCATGCTCACACACTAACTCTGACACTCATCTTCACACTATCTCACTCTCAAACTCATGCACTCTCACACTCACTCTCACTATCTCACTAACTCTAAAACTCATGCAGTCTTACACTCACTCTAATACTTACAAACTCTCACACTCACGCTCACTCACTCTCTCATAATCACTTTATACTTTCATGCAATCAGTCACACAGGGTTGGCATCGTACCCACAACTTCCTGCATCCAGGCGAGGGAGATAACATCTTAGTCTACATTATTGGAGGACTAGTCAACTGGTAGACTAATAGTCAACTGGTAGACTAACAGTCCACTGGTAGACTAATAGTCCACTGGTAGACTAACAGTCCACTGGTAGACTAACAGTCCACTGGTAGACTAATGCACAGGGACAAATGCCACTGGGAGTTCCCAATGGCTGGACCACGTAGCAACTTCGCCCCATATTGCCAAAGCCTGGTCTTCCTCACTATGGAACCCAGGGCCCTCAGCGATGTTGGCTCATTGCTCACTTGCTGCACTTTCCCCAAAAGATTGCTGAAGGTTATACCGGGTGACCTGCATCTTTGTCTGTGTGTAGATGGCCAAGGCTGAAGAGAAGGTGGGCTCCAGGAGCAGCATGCAATGGAGTGCGCTGCCCACATCGGACAGCATTGCCATCGCCAGTAGTAAAACCCCACGAGGTGATAGATATGATCAGAGAAGTCATGGTGGGGGACGTCATGGTGGTCACAGTTGAAAACAAAAACAAGCATGTGAATGGCTATGGAATAAAAATGTCGCGAGGCAGGGTGGCACAGCAGGAACACTCCTCGTGCATTTCTCTTTGGAGTCGGGATGATTTCCCCCTGCTCTGCATGGGATTCCTCCGGGTTCGCCATTTTCCTCCCACAGCTAAAGAAAATTATTCAAACATCCCAATGCAAAAAAAAATTAGTGTTAGTGATTATATGCAGTCCAGGGACTCAGTGGAGCTTTCTTTGGTAAACAAGCATCGTATATTTTATTATCATTTCAGCAGGAAGGGCCCAATAAGTGGATAGGCTATGTTTCTTGGGTGTCCTACGATCGTATGGATGTTAAACAAGTCTTCATGACAAAAGCGCGGTTTCATACAGTGAGGGAAATAGTATTTGATCACCTGCTGATTTTGTACGTTTGCCCACTGACAAAGAAATGATCAGTCTATAATTTTAATGGTAGGTTTATTTGAATAGTGAGAGAGAGAATAACAACAACAAAATCCAGAAAAACGCATGTCAAAAATGTTACAAATTGATTTGCATTTTAATGAGGGAAATCATTATTTGACCCTCTCTCAATAAGAACGATTTCTGGCTCCCAGGTGTCTTTTATACAGGTAACGAGCTGAGATTAGGAGCACACTCTTAAAGGGAGTGCTCCTAATCTCAGCTTGTTACCTGTATAAAAGACACCTGTTCACAGAAGCAATCAATCAATCAGATTCCAAACTCTCCACCATGGCCAAGACCAAAGAGCTCTCCAAGGATGTCAGGGACAAGATTGTAGACCTACACAAGGCTGGAATGGGCTACAAGACCATCGCCAAGCAGCTTGGTGAGAAGGTAACAACAGTTGGTGCGATTATTCGCAAATGGAAGAAACACAAAAGAACTGTCAATCTCCCTCGGCCTGGGGCTCCATGCAAGATCTCACCTCGTGGAGTTGCAATGATCATGAGAATGGTGAGGAATCAGCCCAGAACTACACGGGAGGATCTTGTCAATGATCTCAAGGCAGCTGGGACCATAGTCACCAAGAAAACAGTTGGTAACACACTACGCAGTGAAGGACTGAAATCCTGCAGCGCTCGCAAGGTCCCCCTGCTCAAGAAAGCACATATACATGCCCGTCTGAAGTTTGCCAATGAACATCTGAATGATTCAGAGGACAACTGGGTGAAAGTGTTGTGGTCAGATGAGACCAAATTGGAGCTCTTAGGCATCAACTCAACTCGCCGTGTTTGGAGGAGGAGGAATGCTGCCTATGACCCCAAGAACACCATCCCCACCGTCAAATATGGAGGTGGAAATATTATGCTTTGGGGGTGTTTTTCTGCTAAGGTGACAGGACAACTTCACCGCATCAAAGGGATGATGGACGGGGCCATGTACCGTCAAATCTTGGGTGAGAACCTCCTTCCCTCAGCCAGGGAATTGAAAATAGGTCGTGGATGGGTATTCCAGCATGACAATGACCCAAAACACGGCCAAGGCAACAAAGGAGTGGCTCAAGAAGAAGCACATTAAGATCCTGGAGTGGCCTAGCCAGTCTCCAGACCTTAATCCCATAGAAAATTTGTGGAGGGAGCTGAAGGTTCGAGTTGCCAAACGTAAGCCTCGAAACCTTAATGACTTGGAGAAGATCTGCAAAGAGGAGTGGGACAAAATCCCTCCTGAGATGTGTGCAAACCTGGTGGCCAACTACAAGAAACGTCTGACCTCTGTGATTGCCAACAAGGGGTTTGCCACCAAGTACTAAGTCATGTTTTGCAGAGGGGTCATGTACTTATTTCCCTCATTAAAATGCAAATCAATTTATAACATTTTTGACATGCGTTTTTCTGGATTTTGTTGTTGTTATTCTGTCTTTCACTGTTCAAATAAACCTACCATTAAAATTATAGACTGATCATTTCTTTGTCAGTGGGCAAACGTACATAATCAGCAGGGGATCAAATACTTTTTTTCCCTCACTGTAGGTGGTGATACCAAATTCGTTATCAGTCTGTTCTTCACATGTTACAGGAATACGGAACTGGTTAAAAATGCAATTAAAAAAAAAACACGACCACATTGCTTAGTGAACAAATTAAAGAAACGAAAATGTTTTATTTGACAAAGCAATATTATAATATGACAATATTAATCATCATTGTTCTTATGTTTGCAGAAATCTTGAAGCTCTTTGGGGATTTCCTGACCCCCACCGAGAGAAGCGAGGTCCTCAACGTGAATAACGTCTGGTATTTCGGAGTCCATAACAAAGGCTTTGGCACTCAAAACCATGGCTACGATGATGTCTTCAACCATTATGTCTCGGTACGACTCTCCTCAGGTCACGTAACACGTGGAGAACACACAAAGTCTGCACACTGACAAACACCATAATAATCTGCAGAACAGGCGGACAACATACCCTACACATTCACACTAACTCTTACACATGCCACACATATATTGCATCCATACTCAGTGACTGAATGAGCAGTGATTGGATCAGTATACTTAGTTGATGTGATTGCACCGCAGGTCGAGCATGAGCATCTCCATTTCCGATATGAGGTGCTGAAGAAGGTGGTCGGACCTTACAGCCAGATCTTCAAATGCCGTGACCACAAGACCAACACCCGAGTGGCTGTGAAGATGTGGAGACAGTCATTCAGGTAAGACTTCACAATGTCTTGCATGGAGAAGGCAGGACAGTAAATCAATTCCATATTTACGTGGGTAGTGTTATGGTGCTCATATGTGTGGGTTTTCTCTGGATTTATGTTTAACTTCTTTCGCGCCGTACGTAGCCCACTGTTAATCGCAGATGCGGTGAAGGACAACTGTCTTTGAGAGCGAGCGACAAACTGTTACAAGGGTCAATTATTGTAATTAATATGAAGCTGTGGATTTCCGCTGTTTAGTGCCGAGGAAGACCACAGCCAGTGGATGGAGTACCACATCTTGCTCCAACTTCAGGGCTGGGCCAATGATGATGTCAACGTTGACAGAATCCTCGACTTTTTCACCTTCAGGGGTCACAACTGCCTCGTCATGCAGCTCATACCGAAGTACGTACCCTGCTGTCTGAGCAGAGATATGTAAAGCTGGCTGCTCCACTCCATTTTCTTCTCCAGCCTTGCTAATTTTTCGATAGCCACACCGACAACCGTCAGTGTGACGGCAGTGGTAACACTCGTGCATCATTCCAAGAGCTTGGGTTTGATTGCTGACTCGGATAAGTGTCTGTGTGGAGTTTGTTCTCCACTTGTTCTGCATGGAATTTATCCCCATTCTCCGCATTCCTCCAATAGCGAAACACTCGCACATAATTTAATTGGCATCGGCCAAATTTGCCAGTGCTGAGAAAATACCTTAAAAATAACTCAGTTGGGATTACACATAGGAACAATGTCACCCCGAGAGGAGAAACTTGGCAGGACCCTCAGGAAAAAAGTGTTTACATTTAGTGAGGCTTCCATGGATAAACGAGTATAATAATTGTTGATAATTTTTATTGCTTACTCAGCCCTTTAAAGGATGGCACTGACTTTGTGTTGTTGTCTCCTTAACAGAAGACGTCTGTTAAGTGCCATTGATTGCACGGCACCCCAGCACATTGAGATGACAATGGTGAAACTCTTCACCAAGTCGATCCTCAAATTCCTCATTCATCTCCATGCCAAGGGAATCGTGCATGGGGATATCCAGCCGGTGAGTGGACACCAGGTTCCGCACAACTGCAGCATTAATTTGAGTTCCCGTTCGGGGCTCGTCTTCGTAGAACCTATACCCATTGATCAAAGCGTTAATGCATCTGCTCTGTCCAACTGTCAGTAGCTGCGGGTCATGATAACTGTCGTACAGAGGGTTATATATGGGTGAAACTTGAGTTTAAAGTTTTGTTGCTATTAGGGACTCGCACTAGAGAAAAGCAGACATGTCGAAACAAAGCATTGCCCAAATCATGGAGACACAAACCAGTGCAAGTAAAAGGACGCTTTGAAATTAAGCAACTGTGCTTTAACCTGACAGCTGCCCACCTGTTTCCATGCTGCTCATGCGCATGAGAATGCGTTACCAACTTCATGCATGTGCATGCTTCTGCCTAACTAACACTCACAGCTACAAGCTCCGTTCGGCCCTCTTGTAACAATCGTCATACAGGTATGATAAGAGCGCCCTCCTTTACGCCGGGCACCCCAGAGTGCTCTATATGAGATTAGAGATTGGAATAATCTCATCTAAATACATTTGAAAGGGCACCCCAGTGGCATCCATCAGAAAACATTCTCTTGAGTTGCGATGAATAACCTTGGCAAAAGCGTGTCATCTCAGATTCCCCTTTTAATATTTATTGTGGTATTTTGCTACATGACCAATCTGCTGCAGGCTGAATAGTTGTGCATGCCTGTAATCCAGCACTGTAGAGCCGCAGGTTGGTGGATCACACCAATGGTGTGAAACATCATCTGTGACCCCTCCTCGTGCCTCGGAGTGGTTCTCTCTCTTCCAGATAGAGTGAATACTGCATGGCATTGGCGTATTACAAGTTGACATTATTTATCATGACCTCTGAATGTGAATATCTTCTGCTGCCTATCGTCTAGAGGAACATGTCGATTAAAGAGCCTGGGGCAAGGACCATCCGGATGATGAGTTTTGAAAACAGCTTTTTGGTGGGACGCCAACGTGAGTCGTGAGTGTGTGGCTGAGTATGAGAATGTGTGTGTATGCAGTTCAAGGAGCGGTAGTGTAGTGGTTAGCACACTGCATTTCGAAACTGGTGACCCAGGTGAGAGTGGCGATTTTCTGAACTGGTTGTGAGCCTCCCCTAGGTAGACTCAGTCTCAAATGAGTACCTGGTGTGGTGTGTAAACAATGCCACTCAGGAGACAAAGGCATGGTGCAGGCCACCCACCCCCCTCAAGTGTCGTTTTGGACTTCATAGGTGGTCACTAATTGCACCTGCCCCAACAATGTCTAAGGCTACACGGGGGAACTTTTCTTTGTTTATGCAGTGAGGAACCGTAGTGTTGGGGTTAGTCGACAGCACTACAATCCTGGTGACTGTAGTAAAATTTGCGTTCATGAATATCTGAACCAGTCCTGGGCCTCCCCTAGGTCGACTCAGCCATAAATGAGTACCATGTGCGGTGTCTAGGCACCACCAGTTTAGAAGACAAAGGTGGCTGGGCGTGGTGCTGGCCACCCATCTTCGTGTGTGTTGTTCAGGCCTTCATTAGGTGCTCGCTAAAAGCAAATGCCAGATAAATTTGTTAAAGCCTATATGGGGACGTTTTGTGTGTGTGCACACGTGTTTGCGTCTCTTCACCTGTGTGTGCATGGTTCTAGACCTATGGGTGAGTACATGTGTTTGTATACATGTTTTTTCGTGCCTGTGTGTTGCTGTTAAAGGCTATATTGGTTATGTTTGTATTTTGTAATTCACAGGTTCACAGATTTTTGGTTCCCCTGCGTACCTTGCCCCAGAGGCATACCTGGGCCACATGTCATCTTTCCCGGTTGACATGTGGGGGCTGGGGTGTACAGTGGCCGAGTTGGCTACCGGGCGCATCCTCTTTCCGGCCATCAACAAACACGACCAGCTCCCGTGTTATATGGAGGTATTGCCCACACAGCAGTAACACTGACAATTCCGTTATTGAGTGATCAATTTCATGACCAATTTGCTCTTGAAATCGCGCAACTCAGTCATTGCTTCTAACCATGTTTTTCACTTCTCATCGAGTATTTCCGCATCAAGGGTATTAAAATAATATTCAGAATTGGTATGACCAATTGAACATGCGACAGGAAATACTTCCTTACAATTCCCTGAGCAGACCACTTGAGTCGTCTCTTCTGTGAGAAAGAGGCGTACGACTGCTCGCGACTGGTTGCATGGTTGTCCACACACAAGCTACTGAGTTGCATACAACCGCATGATAGAACCAATTACTCAGGCGTAGACCTGTCAAGGTAACTGTGAGCGGAACGCATAGATTTTTAGAGCTGGTGTTATGACTCGTGATAGATTATTGCATGAGGCCACGGATTGGCCAAATGTAACCCTACACCACCTGCAAATAATTTGAATTGTCAGATGAACGAGCATTTATCGCGCCAATTATTGTTGTTTCATCTCAACTGCTTGTAATGAAGAAAATTCTCACAACCATATAAGCAATTTCAAATGACGCCACGGGACCCATTACCTCCGCTGTGAATGAGGCAGATGGTGCATAGTATTTTGTGGTTTAATACCGCAGTAAAGACCAGGGCAGTCACTGGGATTGATCCGTGAACTTCTGCAACGTGCGGCGTTCGCGGTTTTGCTGGGCCATGCCAATAACACTGCCCCGTGCCTGCATGCGAGAACCATCGGGAGCGGTAGCCGAGTGGTTAGCACCCTGACCGTGTGGTGTTGAATGTTGGACCAGTCCTTGGCCTCTCAAATATCGACTCAGCATTAAATCAATACCTGGAGTGATTTGTAAAATAGTTGCTGTGGTGTGGCCTTGGGTGCTGTGCCATCATCAGTAGGTGCTCACAAACAGAACTTTCCACACAAGTGTGTCAATACTGTATGGGTGATCATTGTCTCTGTGTGAATTGTGTGTAGATCCTCGGGATGCCGCCTCAGAATTTGATTGATGACGCGCCTGAGAGAAACAAGTACTTTGGTGAGTGAAGGGGCGTGCGGGGGAATCGCGTTAAGTTTGAGGGGGAGCTGGGTCCGTTAAGAGTCTAGTGGGGCATTACTTTGTATATTCAACTACTTCCACATGTGTTTTGGCAGTCAATATGATTCGTAATGCATTTTTGGGGAAGGGTTAGGCCTCATGGTGATCTGCCCAAATTTGTGTCATTAAGGTTCTCCAACCACCCGACAAAGGCAAGCAAATTAAAGTACCATGAGTGCAAGCGATTAAAGAGACGCCAGTTGTGATTATAATCATAATTATTTTTGTTGAATCACCTGTAATGTGAAGGGTAATGTTCAAAACCACGTTTAACAATGAGATCAGACGTTTTTGGGATGCTGCAGAGGCGAGGAAACGTTACCTCCCTCACCTGCAATGCAGAAGATCGTAGCGTAGATCCCCAGCCTGGTTGCTGTACATTGCGGGAACTTATCTTCTCCCTTTTGCCTGGTCGCCTCTTAAAAAGAGGCAATAGTTCAGTGGGCTTTACCTGGTAAAAAACAATGTTTTGCTTGAAAGAGGTTAAATCAAAGTTAAAAGAGCTTTTCTTTTTTACCTCTAGGATCTATCATAGTTAATACTTATTGAATGCACTTGGTATTTGCACTATCATTCTTAGAACGCAAAGCTATCACAAAGGATGGTGCCTGCTGTGTTTCACAGACACCGTCTGCAGTCATTTTTCAGTAGCGGGCGTAACACCAGCATGATAATCTTATGACTTCACAAGGTCTGTAACGTTCTACTTTAAACCAAACAGCGCAAAGCATCGTATGGTTATTACTGAAGTAATTACTGAAGTAATAACCATGGCGGCTTGCAGAATTTGAACCATGAACTTCTGCAACAAGCGGTCAAAGTACTCCCACTGGTCTATGTCATAGCACTATAAGATTGTGTTTCTGCGCTGTGGGTGTACAAGGGTGCTGTGGTTTGTAATGATGTTTTACCTGGTCTGCATCATCCCTGCAGATGGTTCGGGGATGCCTTTGATGTCTGGACAAAGCAGGGTCCCAGGCAGTCACTCCCTATACCTGGCACTCGGGAGCCAGGACTCGGAGTTCCACGACTTCATTAGCCGCTGCCTGGAGTAAGAACCCCCCCCCCCCCCCACAGAGTGGTTTTTCCCAGTCAGTCACCTGGTAAAAAGAAAAGAGTTTAATAGTATAGCATCACTGGCGAATTCTCCTCTTTGATCACTAGCTCCACTCTCTATTCTGATTATTCTTTATCTTCCAAGCCATATATCCCATTAGACAACCTTGTCCATAGACTTGCATGTAAAAACATGCACTTGCATAGAGACCCACAGACTCACATACACTGACATGGTCCATACACGTGTAGTGACTCAGTCGGAGACAGGGTTCTTAAGGGACCTTCCTTATTCCACACGTCAGGAAACCACATGTGCCCCGCGTGTCTACGCGCTAGTCACACATCCATGTCCTTGACGGCACTACCTAGATGGAGCAGTCTGCAGGCTGTCTAGCTAGCGGCGTCAAAGGTGGTCGGAGACTGCGGCGACGAAGGTGACGATTGGCGACAGAGCGTGGGGATCCACTTCCAGCAACAGCCCCGAGCTCTCGTCCCGGGCCCCCTTTTATCCCCCTGGCGTGGCCTCGCCCCGCCTCGCTACGCCCTCTTTCTCGAACCTACTAGTGGGTTCTCAGGCTTCCAGATCGATTTCTTCCTGGGCTTCTTTTTAGATCTCCCGCTGCTGACGTGTGTACTGCCCCCTGCTGCCAGTACCGCTTTCTTGTCAGCAGCCCGCGTTATTACACTACACGTGCATAGAGAGACCCATAGACTCTCATACACTCACATGGTCCATACCAATACCGCCATTTGCCCCTAAGTGATGGTGATGTGACCATGACGCTTGTGCCAGGCTAGGTGCACTTTGAGACGTGGAGTGCCTAAGGCTCGCTGACTGTAGGTCATGGGACATACCCAGCGGGTGCCATGGTTTGGCTGACTGAGATGACTGACACATGCACCACTGTACCTCCTACTGTGCCAACTTACTGAATTTTAGCCGCCTGGCGCTCCACTAAGTGTTGTGAGCATCATTCCTCTGCCCGCCGAGGGCGGCTGTCTCCACCTGCCCAGTAGCGTCCTTCATGAGCCTCCTCCAGAGGCCGATCTTGACACTGCAGGTAGCAGTCTTCGGCAAGTCAACTCAGCTCCACATCCTCTCGTACCGCATCAGTCCATCTCTTCTCCAGCCCGTGTCGTGCCAATTTATCCCCCTCGATGCAACCAAACAGAAGCTGCTTGGGTATGCGGTGGCTGGGCATGCGGGCTACATGACCGAGCCAATCCAGCCTTACCTGTCGGAGGAGCTCACTGATGGGAATGTGTCCAAATCTTTCAAGAATTTGTGAGCTCCTCACACAATCCAGCCTGGATAAACCTAGGATGGATCGAAGGAAGGCCAGCCTAAACGTTTATAACAGGCACAGATATTCCTTTAGAGGGGTCCACGTTTCACAAGCATAGAGAAGAGAGGGCATGACTGTGCCCGGGAAGATCTGAAGCTTCGTGTGGAGCGACAAACCAGATAGCTTCCACACAGCATTGCTCAGCCGATAAAAAAACGACGCCCAACTGCTGATTCAGTAAGACCTCTGCTGTCGAACCGGAGCTGGTCATAAGCACACTGGCCAGGTATGGGAAACTCTCCACTCTCTCCACAACTGCTCCATGACCAACGGGGAGCTGAGGGGGTGGAGTGTTTGATGGTACAAAATACCCATGCAGGTGCTTAGTGTTGGTGGGGCTGATGGTGAGGCCCCACCTCTGAGTGGCAATCTCC